CTCAGAGTCAGGCACCTCTCCCCTTCGTGCTCATCTGGGCCCCTGTGGACGACCACAGCAGCCTCCACCCGGGGCTGAGTGTCGCAAGGGCCACCTGCTCCTCCATCGCCGCATCCCAGCTTCGGCTGCCCCAGCTCGGGGGCCAGCAGGGGCCTGGGGTCCTCCCCGTAGCCCATGACCTTCATCTGGATGTGGCTGAAGTCGGGCAGGCTCTGGTCATAGGCCGCTTCCTCCCACAGCCTGACGTAGGGGGGCTGGGGACTGAGAGGGAGCGAGACCAGGCCGATGGGTCAAAAGTCACTCGACCAGCGTCAGGGTTCCCCCCAACACCCTGTTTGCTCTGGCCATGTGTTCTCCCTTTTGCTTACAAGATGTCTTTAGGGATGTTACCATGCCCATTTCATGGCTGAGGAGGCTGAGGCCCAGAAGGGTGAATGAATTCAGGGACAAGGCTCCAGCCTGATCCTACGACTGAACCCTAGGGCTCCTTTCGCTCGATGCCTCCAAAGCGAACCCAGGATACAACTGCAAAATGAAGACCAGCTAACACGGAGGGTTGCTGGGTCCCAGGTGCAAGCCAAGAGCTCTATGCCAATCATCCCACTATTCTGAACAATGCTTTAGAGCAGAAAACCACCCCCCCCATTTTACAGATGAGGACGTAGCAGCAGTAACAGGCCACAGCTACTGCTGTGGTGGCCCTCGCGACACTCAGACCCGGGTGGAGGCTGCTGTGGAGCCTACCCTCCTGCCAGGCTCTGTTAGTTAGCTCATCTACTCCTCGCCAAATTCCCGGAGGCACTGTAGGGAAACCGAGGCACAGGGCCTCTGCCGGCTTGTATCCAGGGTGATATGGACCCTAGGTGGCGGCACTGGGGCTCCAGGCATTGTGCTCTCTATCATGGAAGTACAGCCCCTCTGGAAAGTGAGATTCAGAGACTAGGTCCCTTGCCAAGGTCACATGGCTGAGAGGTGACAGGGAAGACCCCAGAACCGGGATGACTTGAGCCCCCCGTCATGGCAGCCACCCCATGGGCTGAGACTGAGCTTGGGCTGGCCCCGTGCCCACCAGTCCTATCCACTTCATTCCCACAGGGACATTAGTTCACTCTGTGCCAGGAGCAGAAAGTGCCATCGTCAACTCCTTTGCAAGTAGAGCATCCCTGACCCAGCAGACAGACCCTGGATATGCAACCTGCCTTTCTGAGCTGAGTCATAGCCCAAAGGGTTGGCTGGTCCCATCACCTCCCCAGGACTGGAACGCTCTTGGCTGTGCCCTGGGTGATTTACCAACAAAAAATCCAGGATTTGAGACCTCCAGGTCAGGGGAATGGGGGAGCAGTCTGTGGCCAGACCCACCGCCATCACGGACTCCCCATGAGGTTTGGGGGCGTCAGATCTGCACTTCGGTGACTGCACTACTCTGAGCCTCAGTCTCCCCATCTGTATAAAGGGCCTAACACCCCACCTCGCAGGGTTTCCATGAGAACCAAAGGAGATGATGGGCGCACAGTTCCTGACCAAGTCTTTGGTACACAGAAGGCACTTGATAATGATGACAAACACTCCTAGACAGCCAACTATGTGCCAGGTTCTGTTCTTAGCACATACTGCCTCACTCAACCCTCCCCGAAACCCTAGGAGACTGGTAATATTAGTGTCCCCACTTTACAGATGGGCAAAGAGAGGTCAGTAGCTTTCCCAAAGTTGCATAGCTAGTATATGGCAGAGCCCCAGAGCTGTGCCTTGGCCATCATAACGCCCCCACTGTCTGTTAGTAGAAGTAGTCACACCTGGGACTCTGCTTCACTGTATGTTTTCTGTTTCACAGGGACCCTGTACTCAGTGCAAGACAACGTCCCTGAGCCTGTTACGTCATCTGTAAAATGGGAATATAATACCTAACTCACAGAATCCAGACCTAACCCATGACTACTAACAGAGTGTTCAATAAGTGAGAAGGCAAAGCTGGAACCGGATGGAGAGGAGGAGACACCGCCCACCCCTTCCACCTTCTCCTAGGTAAAGGGAGATTAGCCTACAGGGCTTACTGGCCCCCAAGGGCCCAGTACCTACCTCTTCACCTCGGCAGCAAGCCCATTCTCCAGCAGGCCCAGGGCCTTTGGGGACAGGACGCCTTGGAAGTCAGAGTCGGCGGCCACAAAGGAGATCTGCGGGATACAGGGGAGATGGCCTCTGTGCAATTCACCAGGGCCAGGGCTGGCTGTGCCCCAGGGCATCGGTGAACCTCTCCACACACCCTGGGAGAGAGGCTGCACCGGAGAGAGCTCCTCACTTGACAGGCGGGGGGTGCTACTCAGGGCATAGCACCAGTGGGGAGAGGACCTCCCTCCCTGGTTCTTCTTCAGTCTCCCAACACCCATTTATTGAGCACCTGCTATGTGCAGGCATGTTTCTAGGCACCAGGGGCAGCAGTGAGTGAAAGAGACAGCCATGCTGGTGGGAGCTCACATTTTGTCATCTCCCAGAGGTCTTTGTCCAGTGCCAGCAGACCCCGGGCACGGAGTAGGTGCTTCAACTGTATCTGGTGAATGAGTGGAAAGCAGATCATTGATATGTGTTTTTGGCACCGAGGATGCAGTGGGGAACAGAGACACCAATGGCTGAAGTTGTGCCCACTGGTCCTTGTCCCTGAGCCTTCAGGGATCAAGGGGCCTCTGCAAGTCCAGCACCAGGGGGTGGGCACTGCGTGGTGGAAAAGGGATAGGTCCTAATGAAGGCAGGGAGATGAGGCAAGCCTCTCCACACACCCTGGGAGAGAGGATTCTTCCTCTGCCAGGTCCTCACTGTGGGCCCTGGCAGGTCATCCAGCCTCTGAGAGCCTCTCTGTGCTCCTTTGTGTAATGGGACTAGCCTAGAAGAGACACTTGCACAACCACACTCAGAGCAGCATTATTCACAATAGCCAAGAGGCAGAAGTAGCACAAACATCCGTCGACGGATGACTAGATAAGCTAAATATTGTCTACACAGACAATGGAATACTATTCAGCCTTGAAAAGGAAGGAAGTCTGGCAAACGCCACCACATGGATGGACCTCGAAGACATTGCTGAGCAAAGTAAATCAGACACAAAAGAACAAGTGCTGTGTGATTCCATTTGTATGCAGTCCCTGGAGAAGTCAAGTCCATAGAGACAGGAAGCAGAATGGTAATTGCCAGGGGCTACAGCAGGGTGGAACAGAGAGGTGTCATTTAATGAGCATGGAGTTTTAGTTTTACAAGACGAAAAGCATTCTGCAAGTTGGCTGTGCTACAGTGTGAATGTTCTTAATGACACTGACCTGGACAATTAAACATGATTAAGACAGTAAATTTTGTTACCTGTATTTTATAAAAATTTTTTAAAATAGGGCTAATTGTGTCTGTGCCTTGGAGTTGTGGTGAGGATTTCATGAGATGATTATAAGGAACCCCCTAGCATGGTGCCTGGCACATAGTAACTGACTGCTCAATGAATTGCAACTCGATGCTACTGAAGATTAAGTTACCTGACATCTCTGAGTCTTGCTCTCCTGAGCTGAATTTTTTTTTCCAACAAATATCTGTTGAGACACTACTGTATTATGCTAGTTTCATAAACAGCAGCTTCCCTTTTCCCTTTTCATCGAGTGCAGTGAGTAGAAGACATTAGCCTGCACAGAGAAGCTCCGTTCTGATGGGGAGAAGGGAATGATGGATGTGGGGGGTTGTTTTTGAAATCCCTGTGACGGAGGAGATTCCCCCAGATGTCTAGAAATAAGGCAGAGGTCTGGGCATCTCCCATCCCCACTAAGGATGCCCTGCACCTCCCGGCTGGCTCTGTATGTCCTAGAAGTTTCCCTTCCTCTACCTCATCACCTCATGGCTCAGTAAGAGCCATCGGCATCATCGCCATCAGCACCATCATCATCACCATCGCCATTGTTACCCTCATCATCACTGTCATCATCACCCTCACTGTTATTACCATCCTTATTTCCATCCACATCATAACCAGCACCATCATCAACATCACCACCACCCCTATCAATTTCGTCATCACCACCGTCCTCACATAGACATCATCATCAACACCGTCATCACCATCACCACCTTTCCCATCAGCATCACCATCCTCATCGTCACTCTCCTCACCAACACCATCCTCATCGTCGCCGTCACAGTCATCATCGTTCGCGTCATCCTCTCCACCACCATACTCATCATCACCGTCACCATCAAGATCATCACTATCACCAGACTCTCCGTCGCCGGTACCGTTATCATCGTCACCATCATCGTCACCACCATCAACACCATCATCGTCATCACCACCATCACCGTCACCCCTACCAGTGTTACCATCATCACATAGACATCATCGGCAACGCCATCATCGCCATCAGCGACCATCCTCACCCTCACTGTGCTCATCACCGCCATCACCACCGTCATCATTCGCATCATCCTCTCCTTCACCATCCTCTTCCTCACCGTCATCACCGTTCTCGTCATCCTCACCACCATCAGCCTCATCATCGCCATCACCACCATGCCATCATCTCCATCACCGTCACCAGCCTCTCCGTCGCCAGTACCGTTATCATCATCACCATCATCCTCACCACCATCAGCCTCTTTATCGCCATCACCACCGGCACCATCACCACCATCATCATCACCCCTACCAACGTGACCATCGAGCCGGGCTCGGTGGCTCAGCCTGTAATCCCGCACTTTGGGAGGCTGAGGTGAGTGGATTGCCTGAGCCCGCGGGTTCGAGACCCGCCTGGGCAACTTGGTGAGACCTCATCTCTACAATAAATCAAAAATGAGCCGGGCGTGGTAACGTACACCTGTAGTTCCGGCTACTCGGAAGGCTGAGGCGGAAGGATCGCCGGAGCCCAGCGGGTCGAGGCTGCGGTGGCCGGGAGCGGCCACTGCACTCCAGTCTGGGCGACAGAGTGAGCCTCCGACTCAAAAAAAGAAAAGATAATTTAAAAAAAACAATGTCACCATCATCACCACCATCGCATAGACATCATCATTAACGTTGTCACCATCAACGCCATCAGCAGCAGCAGCATCGCCATCCTCACCGTCACTATCCTCACCAACACCATTCTCACCATCATTATCACCATCACAATCATCAGCAGCAGCAAGACCAGCCTCTCCATCACCATACTCTTCATCACCATCGCCACCATCATCACCATTATCAGCCTCTCCATCACTAGTACCATCACCACCACCACCACCATTCCTATCAGTGTTGTCATCATCCCCATCAGCAGCAGCAGCATCACCATCCTCACCGTCACTATCCTCACCAACACCATTCTCACCATCGCCATCATAATCGTCGTGATCATCATCATCCTCTCCGTCACCATCACCATCATCGGCATCATCGTCACCATTCGTATCAGCACTTCAGCATCATCACCAGCCTCTCCATCGCCATACGCTTCCTCACCGTCATCAGCATCACCACCACCATCACCATCATTGTCAACATCATCGTCACCAGCCTCTCCGTCACCAGTACCATCATCATCATCACCATCATTGCCATCATCACCAGAACCATCTTCACCATCATCATCCTCACCACCACCGTCATCATCCTCACCACCACCGTCATCCTCACCACCATTATGAAAAGCTTGGGGGAGAATGCAGCATCTTAAAATACAAACTCTTTGAAATTCAAATTCAACAGGCAGAGGAAGCTGGGGAGGGGATATTAGACCATGGAGATCCCAAGAACATCAGACTAAGGAGCTCAGCCTGTCTCCAGAAGCAGGAGGGAGTCTCGGGGGAGTTATCAGCAGGAGAGTCCACAGTCAGATGTGCGTTCAGGGAGAACACCAAGTGACCTCCAGAGGGAGGAAGTCCCATGGAGGGGACAGAGCCTTCAACCAGCAATCAGGGCCCTGGTCCCAGGCTCTAGCAGAGCAGGCAGATGTGAGGAATGGGGACGCGTGGGTAAAGGCTGCAGCCGGATGGGGAGAGGTCCTGCTCTCCCTGCCGCTTCTTCCCCTGCTCCCAGCCCTTCTGCCCCATCTCCACTAACAGCTCAGTATCCCTAACTGATGTGTCCTGAACTCCTCCTCTTCTTGGGTCTGAGGCCCAGTTAACCACCAAATCTGGCCAGCTGTGCTTTAGAAATTCAAAGAGACAAGCTGGGTGGGAAGGTTGGTGCTACATCCAGCCACAACTCTCTGTGTGGTAGAGTGGAAATGTCTTCTCAGGTCCTCCAGCCTCGGGTTCAAATTCTGCCTTAGTACAGATGGACATCACCTCTCACCTCTCACTAGATGGGCATCACCTTTCCACTGGCCTGGCTGCCCCCGGACCTTCCTCCTTCTGGATGTCAGACAGAGAGCATTCTCAAACTGCAAAGCTGGTCATGTTCCCCTCTTGTACCGTCAACCAAAAAGATGAGGCCCAAATGGCATCCCAAATCCCAAGGAGCTGCGCCCACTCCTTCTCCCCTCACCCTTAGTACCCATGCTGGCCTGCTTCCTTTTCTTTCACCACATGTCTTTGTCATGTGGCTTTTCTGCCTGGAATGTCTTTTCCCATTTTCTCTGCCCGGAGAACTTCTATCTAACCTACAGGACCCAGCTCACCTTCTCTGTGAAGCCGTCTTCCTCCTCATCAGGCAGCAAATGATCTCTCTCACTAGATCTCCAGCTCCTCAAAACCAGGGACAACTTAATACATGTTGGTATTGGCTACCCTTCACAGCCATATCCTAACTAGCTAATTTTTTTTAGTGGAAGTCTCTCTCTGATGCCCAGGCTGGATGGAGTGCAGTGGCGTGATCATGGTTACCGCAGCCTCAACCTGCTGGGCTCAGGCGATCCTTCCGCCTCAGCCTTCTAAGTAGCTGGAACTGCAGACAAGCGCCACCACAACTGGCTAATTTTTTTGATTTATTGTAGAGATGAGGTCTCACTAAGTTGCCCAGGCTGGTCTAGAACCCCTGAGCTCAGGCAATTCTCTGACTCTGCCTCCCAAAGTGCTGGGATTACAGGTGTGAGCCACTGCACCTGGCTTCTTACTAGCTAATTCCTTTTCCTTATATTTATATTTGGTTCAATCCAAAAAATTCCCATTTACTGAAACTTTCCAGAGGTCAGGAACTGAGAGCCAAGGAAGAAGCCTCAGGGAGGACAGGCATGAGTCCTAAAGGTGACAATGACCCAGGCACCAACGAGGACTCAGGGAGTCTCACTTCCAGAGTCCCCTGGCTTACAATGCACCTTCCTCCCTTCCCACACTGGAGTCAACCCGGACTGGCTCTAACAGCCCAAGTCTCTGTGCATGTGACCGTGCGCGCGCGCGCGCGCACACACACGCAGAGTCCCACACCGGCCACACGCACCTGCGCACACACACAGGCCCACTGGGGCCGCAAGTAGCAACCCTGAAAGCAACACCTTCACATCAGCTCCGTGCCAGGTGGAATGCAAAGTCCCCCCACCACACACATAAGACCCCCCTCGTTCCTCCCACTCGACTGTGTAAAGCTCAGAGTTGGGGGGACCCCCCTTGCCAAAGTCACAGAAATGAACCTGAGGGAGCAGGGCTTTGAATCTGGACCTGTAGGCCACCAGAACGTGTGCCGTTTCCACCCCACATCCAGCCTCACAGCACACGAACACGTGAATCTATCAACAGTTACTCATTAATACCCGGCAAGATGCCCTCTTCCCCTCCCCCCACTGCCACTCCGCTTTCTCTGCCCACCACCCCAGAGCCACCTCTGTTAAGGGGGGGGCGAGAAGGGCGCCCCCCTCCACACCCCGCTGCCCCCTGCCTTGTCCCCAGGACCCAGCCTTCTCACTGGGAGGAGAATCACAATGGCAATAGTTACCTGGGTGGCTCCAAGGACCTCTCCTCCCAGTGACCTCTGCTCAGGGCATTGCACAGACAGAGGCGAATTGACTGTAAACTGCTTGGTAAATGACTGCAAACCAGCCCAGACCGCCCCAGCACCAAACACACCGACAGCCCGGGGCTGGCCCACAGTGGGGGCAGGGCTGGGGAGAGCCTGGCCTGGGCCCCTGGGAGCCTCCCTCCTTCCATGAACCCCTGAGCATAGCCACACAGGCAGGGGGAGAGGAGGGTGCTGGGGGCTGCCTGGGCCTGGAGTCCTAGCTCTCAGGTCCAGCAGGGCCCCAGGGCAGACCCCCTTCCCCACTGCCTCCTCCTGACTTGCACATTATACAAATGAGGAAATTGAGGCTCAGAGAGGGAAGGGGCTTGAGTAAAATCTCGCAGGCAGTGAAAGACAGAGCCCAGGTTAGAATCCATGTTTCTCGCCTCATCTCCCTGGGTCTGACCCTGACCAGCTGGAAGAGTCACTCAGCCTCTCTGGACATTGAAGGCTTATGACTCCTGACATGTCCATTCCATAGGGTTGTTGGAAGGATTGATAACAGCAACAGTGGCAGCTTTTCACCTGTATATAACACTCGACAGTTTACCGAATACTCCTATATCCTATCTCTGATTTTTAAAATAACCCAATAACCCTGTAAGGTGGGGCAGAATAGGAGCTTGGGGCCCCATTTTGCAGATGAAAAAACTGAGGCTCAGAAAGACGAAAAAGTCACACAGAGAGTTTGGGATAGAGCTAGAATTGAAATCCTGGACTCCCAAACCAGTGCTCTGCCCATCACCAAATAATTCATAAGTCTGGGAATACATTAAGACTCCAAAAGATAGAGAACTGCCCAATGCATGCCACCAGGCTTATACCTGAGCCACCCCAGAACTCTCAGCAGCTTTGAGACCCAGGGGTGTTGGACCCAAGGCGGATGGTGATGCTTGAGCCACACATATCTGACTCCAATCCAAACTCTGCTACTTAGCCATGGGACCTCACCTTTCTGAGCCTCTGGCTTCTCCACTATGAAATGGAACTGCAGAAGGTGCCCACAAACTCGGGATGGGCACCCTGCAGGCACGAGTGTCTGGCATGAGTGGTCAGCACTCATTAGCTTCTGTTTCAAGCCTGTGGGTTGTGTGCTGTGTCTCACTGCATCTCCCCCACAGTGTCTAGTTCAGGACTCAGATCCAGGGGTCTCTGATGAACTCTTATGCTATGGGATGGGTGGATAGACAGACGGACGGACAGATAGATGGACAGGTGGATGGATGGACAGACAGATGGACGGATGGACGGATGGATGGATAGATGGATGGATGGCTGTATGGATGAACAGATGGATACTGGATGGACGAATAGACGAATGCATGGATGAATGGAAGGATGGAAGGATGGATGGATGGATGGATGGATCTACAGACACATGGACAGATGAATGGATGGATGGATGGATGGATGGATGGATGGATGGATGGATGGATAGATGGACGGGTGGTCACGTAGATGGATGAATGGACGGACAGATGGGCAGATGGGCGAGCAGACAGACGGATGGATGAACAGGTGCTCAGGAGAGCAGAGAAAAAAACTGAGAGTCAAACGAGAAGAGGGAAAGACGGCTGACGAACGGGGACTGAGGCCTGAACAGAGGCAGCCTCTAGCCCCTGGGCCCACCTGCCCCGCCACCTACCTTGGGGTAGCACTGGCACATGCTCCAGACAACTCCCCCGATCACCATGGCACCGCCCATGGCGTAGAAGGTGCCGTAGACCTGGGGCCGGTCGTGGCTCATGAGGAACGTGCCCAGGGCCAGCAGGAAAAGCCCCAGCACGATGAAGCCGATGCGGAAGGTCTTCTCGTCAGCCATGGCTGCCGGACACCCTGGCACAGGGGGCGTGGGCACGCCAGGCCCCGGGCCCACCCGTTCGGCAGGGCTGGAGGCGGCGCACTCCAATGGACTCGCACACCCACCAGTAACCTTCTCTCCTCGCCCTCTCACCTTCCCTCTGGGCCGGTGGCCTGGAGTGTGTGTGTGTGTGTGTGTGTGTGTGTGAATCTGAGGGAGGGAGCAGGGGAGGGAGAGGGGGAGGTTATGGGGGCTGGGCCCCGGCCAAGGCTTTGACATCACCTCATTTGCCTACTGTGGGACTAGGGGGTGGACAGGCCCCAGCCTCCAGGCCTGGGAACCTGGCAGTGCCGCGGCCAAAAGACAGAGGATTCCAGAACCCCATAGGCTGGTATTTCAGAGTCCTGAAGAATTCTAGACTCTCCAAGGACGTCTGGGGTTCAGGCATTAGAGCCCCTATTTACTGTGTGGTGACTACATGCGCGGCATCTTTCTGAACATGCCACAGGGCAGGGCGTAGTGGCTCACACCTGCAATCCCAGCACTTTGGGTGGCTGAGGGAAGAGGATTGCTTGAGCCCTGGAGTTCGAGACCAGCCGGGGCAACATAGCGAGATCTCGTCTCTATAAAAAAACTTTAAAAAATTAGCCAGGCATGGTGGCATGGTGCCTGTTGTCCCGGCTACTCAGGAGGCAGATGTGGGAGGATCGCCTGAGTCCAGGAGGCCGAGGCTGCAGTGAGCCATGATTGTGCCACTGCACTCCAGGCTAGATACCAGAGCGAGACCCTGACTCAAACAAAAACCCCAACAAAATACATTACAGCTATTAACTCATTTGAGGGGACTCCATGAGGCAGGTGCTAATATCCCCACTTTACAGATGAGGACACTGGGATACAGACAAGTAGCCTGCCCAGGGTCACACAGCTAGAAATGGTGGAACAGCTGGGATTTGAACCCCGAGGCCATGCACCTCGCCACAGCACCATCTATTCTGTTTAACTGCTGCATGAGGGTTAGAAGTGTGAGCTCTGAAGGCAAGGCAGGCTGCCTCAGCTGGGATTCTGGCTCCCCTACTGTGGGGCAGCATGACTTCGATCAGGATACCTGCCTGTGCCTCAGTCTGCTCTTCCGTAAATGGGAATAATAATAGAGACCACCCAGGAAGGCAGCTGTCTTCAGGCCTGGCCTTCCGGTTCCTTCACCCCTGCACACTCTGTGCACCATCCACACCTGCTTGTGATGAGTCTCCTCCCACCACCTCCCACCCGCTCCGCGAGTGAATTAATGCCCTTGCAGGGTGTGAACGACTGACAGCAATTTCCTCAATTTCCTTGCTGCCTAATCTAGGAAGATGTCTTCCTAGGAATAGCATTCTAATGATGTAATTTCTGTCCTGGGACAGGCTGATGGGAGAAATAACAGAGCCCTTTTCAGGATTAGAGGACAGTGAGGACTGTCGGTACCTTCAAAAGAGAACATCCAGGTGGGGTGGGGTGGCTCACACCTGGAATCCCAGCACTTTGGGAGGCTGTGGCAGGAGGATTGCCAAGAGTCCAAGAGTTGAAGGCTGAAGTGAGCGGGAGCCATGCCACTGCACTCCAGCCTGGGCAACAGAATAAGACTCGAGAAAGAGAGAGAGAGAGATATCTAGATCCACGGGGAGTCTGTATGGGGTTGAGTGTCTGTCGCAAGCTAAAAGGCTTTTGTTTGGCTCCCTGACTGCGGGTTGGGGGGATTTTCCTGCCGTGGTCATCCCCTTGTCCCTCCTGCCAGCGGCTGTGCTTGTCCCCTGACCCACACCTGTGCCCACACCAGCCCCTCTGCCAGGCGGCCCTTCCTCTCAATCTCCCCATCCCTCACCCCCACCGCCCGCAGCCCTCAGATCCGGCCTGCCTGCCCTTGACCGTGGGCAGAGCACGGTCACCTGCAGCGCCGCCGGGTCGCCTGCCGGTCTGATTCTCGGGGTGAACGTCGGCGGGTGGCTCTGCTCTGGGGTCGAGTCGTGTCCCCTGTGGATCGGGGGTGGCCATTGGGGGGGACAAGCCAGGATCCTCTAGGGAATCGTTGCTATCATCATCCTAGAGAGCCTCAGAGAAGAGAAGCCACGA